GTGTTACACTGGTGGGTGGGGTTACACTTGTTGGTGGGGTCACACTTGTGTGTGGTGTTACACTGGTGGGTGGGGTTACACTGGTTGGTGGTGTTAAACTAGTGGGTGGGATTACACTGGTGTGTGCGGATACACTCGTGTGTGGGGATACACTCGTGTGTGGGGTCACACTTGTGGGTGGGGTTACATTTGTGTGTGGTGTTACACTGGTGGGTGGGGTTACACTTGTGGGTGGGGTTACACTAGTGTGTGGTGTGACACTGGTGGGTGGGGTTACACTGGTAGGTGGGGTTACACTGGTGGGTGGTGTTAAACTCGTGGGTGGGATTACACTGGTGTGTGGTGTTACACTTGTGGGTGGGGATACACTCGTGTGTGGGGTCACACTTGTGGGTGGGGTTACACTGGTGGGTGGTGTTACACTGGTGGGTGGGGTTACACTTGTTGGTGGGGTCACACCTGTGGGTGGGATTACACTGGTGTGTGGTGTTACACTGGTGGGTGGGGTTACACTTGTGGGTGGGGTTACACTGGTGGGTGGGGTTACACTGGTAGGTGGGGTTACACTGGTGGGTGGGGTTAAACTCGTGGGTGGGATTACACTGGTGTGTGGTGTTACACTGGTGGGTGGGGATACACTCGGGTGTGGGGTCACACTTGTGGGTGGGGTTACACTTATGATTGGGGTAACACTAGTGTGTGGTGTGACACTTGTGTGTGGTGTTACACTTGTGGGTGGGGATACTCTCGTGTGTGGGGTCACACTTGTGGGTGGGGTTGCACTGGTGGGTGGTGTTACACTGGTGGGTGGGGATACACTCGGGTGTGGGGTCACACTTGTGGGTGGGGTTACACTTGTGTGTGGTGTTACACTTGTGGGTGGGGTTACACTTGTGTGTGGTGTTACATTGGTGTGTGGTGTTACACTGGTGTGTGGGGTTACACTTGTGGGTGGGGTTACACTTGTGTGTGGGGTTACACTGGCTGGAAGGGTTACACTGGTGGTTGGGGTTTAACTAGTGGGTGGGGTTACACTAGTGGGTGGGGTAACACTGGTGGATGGGGTTACACTTGTGGGTGGGGTTACACTAGTGTGTGGTGTGACACTGGTGGGTGGGGTTACACTGGTAGGTGGGGTTACACTGGTGGGTGGTGTTAAACTAGTGGGTGGTGTTACACTGGTGTGTGGGGTTACACTTGTGGGTGGGGTTACACTTGTGTGTGGGGTTACACTGGCTGGTAGGGTTACACTTGTGGTTGGGGTTACCCTTGTGGGTGGCTTACACTGGTTGGTGGGGTTACACTAGTGGTTGGGGTTACACTAGTGGGTGGGGTTACACTTGTGGGTGACTTACACTGGTTGGTGGGGTTACACTAGTGGGTGGGGTTACACTTGTGGGTGGGGTCACACTGGTGGGTGGGGTTACACTTGTGGGTGGGGTCACACTTGTGGGTGGGGTTACACTTGTGGGTGGGGTTACACTTGTGGGAGGGTTACACTGGTTGGTGGGGTTACACTTGTGGGTGGGGTTACACTAATGGTTGGGGTTACGCTGGTTGGTGGGGTACACCTTTTGGTGGGGTACACGGGTGATTGCTACATAGACTCTAAGAAATCAAAGCATAGCCTATTATAAGTAGTCTAATAGTATTCATTTATCAAAATAATCCTGTGAACAGGCTTTGGAATAGCCTATACAATGTAGCTGTAATTTGATAATGAAATGAGGACCCTGAGGGATATTAGCCTTTTGCTAAATCATGTTTTCAATCCTCAATAAATAAGAATTATTATGAAATACACATGCTGGCGGAATCCAAGTGTTACTACTAAGGAAAGAACCGTTTCAGAACGTGACTTAAAGTCATCACAAATAGCTGTTTGGTAGTATAACCCTTATTGGCAAATTGTATGTATTTCCACAGAGGTGACGGTTATCGTTATACTGTTGTTATATGTAACAGAGTTTGGTAGCGAGGTTACCCCTATAGGCAAAAGTAGATAACACATTTGTCATATTAAAAATATTTCTTCATCTACCCCTGGAGTTGTCAAATACGTTGTGGCCTGACAACGGATTCCTTGCAATAATACCATCACACACATTTTTTACTTGAAACTTGCGCAGTTACAACCATTGTGACTTCACAAGATACATAAAGATAACACCATTTTCATTTATTTCGTTTACATTTCTTGCATATAATACGTTAATCTTTATCTCAAATTCTGAACTCCGTTTGACATGAATAATAGACAATGGAAACTCATTTAATACCATTTACATATTATATTCTTCACAAATATTGCTGAATAACGAAATACGAACAGTTGAAGTCAGGACAGAATTGAATGTTTGCTAAATAGGAAACATATTCGATCCCTATCTAATGAAGTACGTCCTGGAGTGATACATCGTCTCAGACGTCGTGATCTACGTAGCCAGGCGGATATTGTATTTGGAAATTCGCAGGACAAACTGGTTTGGCACAGCACTTCCCGGGTGGAGTTTCTAAATGGCAGACACTAGGTAGTGTCCACGTGTAGCATCTGAAGTATAAAGAAAGAATATTCTTTTTGAAAATGGTGACTTAGATAAAATGTTTGACTGACACCACAACCTATTACGAGAAAATACTATTGTTTTCTTATCATACATTAGAAAACAAGCGATATTCCTATTTGGGGTGTTATTACTTAGATTACAATTGTAGCATACGGTAAACAGACAGGCATGGCGTGTGGAGTTTAACAGCCACGCATCTTCAAAAGGGAACGGAGTTTGAAAAAAACCCTTGATAGCTGAATATGTTTACAGTGTGAATCTGAGCAGTAAATCTATTACTTCACTGTTGTCACGTTAACTTTGCGTCACATTTGATGTTATATTTTAACACGAGAAATACCTATATCTCATGTGAATATGCACGAATGAATTATATATTGGAAGGTTTGCATAATATACAGAATACATATATGTTTCATAAAATACAAGATATCAGTTGGACAGATATAAAGACGCTGAGCATTAGCTAAAACTATTATGATCGTCTTTCCTTACCCTTGCTGAATTGTACTGAAGTGTTTCAAGACAATGATCATGTATTCTATATTGAACAAGTATTGTCTAGGAACTATAAAGTATAAAATAAGTGTACCAAACTAAATTCAAAGAATAATAATATTTCGTTAAGATTCGAAACAAAATCTTCAAATTCCTTTTATTTAGTTGGATGTATAGTTTTAAAATGTCACTTTAATTATTAATGTTACTAACTTCTAACACTTATGCCTTAACAATCTTTTGCAGTGAACCTGTCTTGATTAATATGAACAGGGACCGAATAATTTCATAGGAAGTTTAAGTATATAATCTTTTGCGTCATGGAAGTTTGTCGTCAAAGTAAGAATATTGCCAACATATAAGGCATTATGTTACTTGACTGCTATCTGTACTTACAAAGTTGAACACATATATCTTCCTCTGGTATCGTCCGTACAGGTACAGTTAAACTCACAACCGTCTTGCCAAGAGTCGTTTGTTTGATAAAACTGTCCTTTATAAAAACATCTGGCAGAAATGATACAAAAAAAAATGAAACAATTAAAAAGTAAAAACAAGTTAAGGACATACACTAACTGATATATGACACTAAAGAAGGAGCGGTTATCTCCCTTTAGATGCATTTGAAGTGGGTTAAATGTAGCTTCTGGTCATTTCAAACATATGTACTGCCCAGCATTAAGTGCAGAGGATAAGGCAGACGTGATATAAATGGTGTGAATATTGTTTTATGCTTATATCTGATATCTTGCAGTTTGTACATGGCTCAATACTTTTCGGTTTGAGTCAACAGAGTGAAAAATAAAGCCTTTCGGGTCTTTAATTAGAGCTTGTGTCTTCATCATCCCAAATTTTCTGCAGAAAATGTCACTAAACACTACATCACGAAAACTGATATCTTCATGTATGTTTCATGAAATACTAGATATCTGTACGACAGATATAAAGACGCTAATCAGTCGCTAAAGCTACGTAGTATCATCGTCTTTCCTTACCCTTGCTGAAATGTACTGAATTGTTTCAAGACAATGATCACGTTTTCTATATTGATAAAAAAAAAATGTCTGAGAAATTTAAAGTAAAAAATGGGTTTACCAATCTAAATTAACTGAATAAAAATATTTTTTTAGTTAAGATTGGAAACATCATCTTCCAATTCTTTATTTATCTGGATACATTAGTTAAAAATGTATTTTATTTAGTTTTCTTCAGAAAATATTACCGTCCAATTAAGGAGTTCAAAAAGAAAAGACATATGAAACAAGTAAATGATTGGTTGGTTGAACCAGGTGTCCAGTTAATTCTATATTCACTTAAGATTATCTCAGTATGAGCCCCTTACCTGTTTAATGTTCCGTTGGAGCCTGGTGGAAAGGTCCCAGTGTAAAAATACGCTGGTATGGTAGGTTTTGTTGTTGCTAGAGAAAAGATAATAAAAATAGTTAATCAAAGTATACTGTACAATATAGTTTCTCAATTCTCTGTCCGATACCAGCAGTATACTACTAGTAAACTAGAGATTTTAAGCACATAGCTGAGTGGCAACATCAATAGGGTTTAGTGTATCTGGAATACATTACGGTAGCCATTTTTCGAAATAATCCAATGAAAATAATTATGTAAATTAGTTTTCTAAAACATATCATGAAAACGTTTGGTCAAGTATATCTTTTAATAAATATGATAAATGTATTAATTTTGTATAGTTTTGTGTTAAACAGCGTATCAGAATTCCAAATGATAAACGACTGTGTATCACTCCTTGCCTATATTCTAAGTATTTTTATGCAATTAAGTTTATAACAGAACTCTTTAGAAAGGACTTTGTCAGTGTCCCTGTGTGATGTGAATTGTGATAGGGAGACTCTCACTGCAAAATCCACAAAATGAGGCACAATTTTGTCGGGCCCAGGTTTCGTATTGCTTGCAAGCATCCGGGCCATAGGAACTACAGTCCGTTACCTCGTCATGACAACCAGCCGTTGAGGGAGCTAATGGAGGATGGGTTGGTACCTTTATTGTTCCTATGTTCAAAGTAAAAATATATCCATGTAATCTTTTACAATAAAATAAATAGACACAGCGTTTCTCTGTTTCTTTTCTTCATGATTCACGTGAAAGGAATGTTTTCAAGAACTCACAACATAAAGATGTTTTTGATATTTGGGTGAAACAAATCAAGAGCATTAAGATTGAATAAGCAATGTTTTGTTCCCCTATATTTAGTTATAATTCAGTCAATAATTTTCATTTTTTTCTTATCACAAACGAATATTTACTTTTAATGGAAACTTTTTACTGGTTAAGCATATAAGTGTGCCAAAAAATGTATCAGTTTGACGGTGGCCTACGCGTCGATATATTTGGATCTTATAGTGTTCGGTACTGTCCATTGTCCCATCTCCCCTTCAGTAAAAGTGGCTGCGATGCGGCTGCCTTTTTTGACTTCTTTGAGTAAAGAAGGACATAATTCATTTTAAATACATTGATAAGTTGAGAGTATGACATTACTCCTCGGGCCACGTATAGATGGACTAGTCACTGAACTGTAGTTTCTCCTGCTTTCTAACGTGTCTGAACCAGGCAGGGTCCCCTAGGGCTTAACTAATCATTAAGTGATCCAAATTTCTTGCTGCCCCGACTCTAGCTTAACTCATTAAGTCTCGGAATGCTGTTATACCTATGCTTTGATGCTTATTCCAGTCCAATATATCTGTATGTTTAAATGTGAAACAGGGTGAATAACTCTTGCAACGTAAGTATGTTCTTGACGCATTAAAGTAAAATATTGGTAATTTTAATTTTGAATAATAGTTTATTCTAAGTCGCATGATAAGCCGATTTGCACTATGTCAAGCTACATGTAGGATCGCCAGAAAAGCCAACAATAACAGGGAGATGTTTATCAACCTACCACATATACCGCAATACCTGGCACAATTCTTGGTAGCCCAGGTAACGTACGGGGATTTACATGCGGCGGTACCATAGGTCTCACAGTTATGCAGTATATCCTTGCACGCGTTGTCACCTTGTCAAAAGGAAAAAAACGACGTCACGATACATTGTGGATCAGATCATAAACAGGCATCATTTCGTGAATGACATGATAAACAGGAAACTATATTTTATATATGGACTAAAATCTCGCTAATTACTATAATCACAAATACGGTTTACGGTTTTAGTCTTACTGGCACATTGATATATCATATATATATTATAACAATATCACTTTCAATGGATACATTGTTGAAATATATATGAAACGGAAGGCAATTATATACAACTATATGCAAAAGTATTATTATGAATATTGTAAACAATTAATTATTTCGCAACAATTATAGAAGAATTGTAATTATTTTATTGTTAACTATCTATAATTTAAAAAATAAAGTTCTTTCTGTTCAAATGTCTCCATCAGAATACGACAGCGGCTTTGTTATAAGAATTTTAGAAGGTATACATGTCGTGTATGAAATTGCATGAGCAACATATGTGTGTGTGTATTGTCTACTAAGGGATTCACCTTTGAACCCTTGCCATAGTTTCACGAATGTAGTTTAACTTTTTTCATCGGAGTTAAGAGAAACCTTAAATATACGATTGTTTTTCTTTTCACGCCAGTAATGCTTTCCTATGACTAATCTTCAGTTAAATTATACCGTGTCGCTAGCCTTAGCTCTTTCTTATCAGCAGGGCAAACTGGCATTTCTTATTTTCCATTCATAGGAAAAGTTAATAATTTTGCTTAAAATCACATTTATGACGTTAAACATGTCATAGAGATAAAAGAAACTAGAAAAAACGAATTTAATTCAATTTTCCTACGTGCCGCTAAGAATTCGATGATTTAAATAATGTCACGCATGTCCCAATGGGCTCTCTTCAAAAGGATAATATTTCATGTCAAATTTCGGCACGATTCCTCTGCTATAATGATCATGCATTTTTTGCTAATACTTCTTCATGAGTGAACTAGTAAGTCGTTCAGCATACCAAGAGACGTAATGGGTCATTATTAATGAAGATGAAGACATGTTTATTTTGACATAGTCGCCATTCGATATTTGGGTTCTACTTTCGTGACATTTCGTAAATTCGCTTATGCATCTTTATAACGTTAACATTGCTTAAAACCTGCGCCTGGTGAGAAAAGTAAAAATTAGAAAAAGGCTTCGCACGCTTATGCTTGATAAAGAGTTAAGTAATTCGATGTTTTAATCTTTTCATACCAAAATACTTAAGCTATTTATAAAATCTTTTTACCACAGTTTTTACAACAGATTGTGACACAGTTACTTTAAAAACAAATCCTTGCGTTAAGGAAAAATCGTGCAACTGCGATTTAACAATTATTTATGTCGTAAAAAAAATCTTGTTCGTCATCAATCTTTTCCCAGAGTTGTCATTCTTTACTGTTACCGAGTGTAAGGAACGGCAACTCTGGGTACAGATTGATTCGTCATGTACTAGACCCTGTTAGCACATGGAAAAAACGGTCCTGACAGGCCAATATTTTGTTAGAAATTGTTCGAGAGACCAATTTTGAACACTGGTCTAGTCAGAGTGAGACATTGGGTAGAAATTAGAGAAAGATCATCATTATTATAAGCTGTATAGTTCGTAATATAGTTTTTACTTACCACAGAAACTACAGAACTTGGCGCAATTTTTTCTGGCCCAACTTTGATAAGGGTGATCGCACACGACCTTACCATAAGACTGACAGTTGGGAAGAACGTCACCACATGTGGCTACTGTAGTATTTACCTCACCCGATGCTGGTACATAAACAGACAATGTAGAACATTGTTAAACATTTGTTGTTTCTTCCTCAAAAATGAAATGTATAAATATAATACAGATTAAAAATCGGCACTGAAATCGACAAATATAACAGGTTTAATTTCCAGGGAACAAATCAGCACTGCAACTAAGAGAATTAGAAGACTTTAGAATGGCTGTTATATTTCACTTCGGCGAAAATATATATTTCTGTATTTGAACTAAAATTAGAGCAGAAAAATCAACTGCAAAATGATAAATGAGGCCTAGTTATGCCATTTTCAGATAACTTAAAAGTGAATAAACAAAGGGTTTTGATTTTTCAGAAAGATAACTTTTGAACGAAATATGGGGTTCACAATCCCTAAATAACGAGGTAAACCTATTTCTCCATCCAAAATTATCTGAACTATGTTGATGAAAGAAAATAGGAGACTATCTCAGCGTGAACTAAACCGTTAGTCGAAATAACAACCAATGAAACAAGTTTTAAATATAGCCAAAATAAATAAGTCACATGATGGTAAGACTTGAGTGTTCCGGAGGGGTAAGCGTCTTTCGTTTCATGGACAACACCAGCCTAAATCTTTGTCAACTTCAAGCAATGTCATGCTCCCAGCGACAGAACAGGAGTAGGGACAACTCAAAACACAAACCAACAGATGAACACAATAAAGCATCGGTATACCTATCATTTAAATGAATACGTATTTCGCAATAAGCTTATGTTGGTGACCTTATAATCTGCCCATAGTCTTCATCAACCGGCATCTCCCGAAACCACGTGTTGTAAAATTGTCAATCTGCATTGACACCTAACACGGGAACCGCGATATTTGGAGCAAGCCAGTAAATATCAAATTTTCTTCGACATATTAACATTGTAAGCAGGTGTTACATTCAAGGAAATGTCCTGGATTTCAATTTCAAATGTACGATTGACGTAGTCAATAACGTTATTTAAAGACCACAAATCATTGATATATTTTAAATCGGTTAAGAGAGTAACACAGTTAGTTTCCATGGATATGCTAATAGGCTATTGATAAAAACGTGCAATCAGAGGCAACAACGACATTATCAACCGAAGGTCTATCATCATCACACAATCATTGTTGTTCACAAAATATACTACAAAATAGTTCACAACCAAATAAAATTCATTTAAAGTCTTACTATTAGTTGATATATTTGTAAAATGCACACGCCTTGACGTCACACTTGTCGTAATAATAGTTATGCGGGAAATCTGGAAAAATCAATATACCTTGGTAAACAGCAAACACCAAAAAGAATACGAATGCTGGGGAAATTGTCATATCTGAAAACGACAAGAATTAGTAATAAAACACCAGTTTCGATCATAAAGTGTATTACTCTGAACCTGCTAATGTAAATGACAAAAACAATACTATATCAATATGTAGATTACTACAACGTTTTCAAACAAGCTTGATCGAAATGAATTGAATGCATTACGCACCAAAAAATATACCAGACCCACAACTGCAGCAAGTAGGAAAACTGCTGGCCTATGTAAGCAATTTCTTTCTGACTTTGGTTCTGTCTTTTTTAAGTGCTCAACACAGAATGTACTTACTGACAGTATATCTTTCTGACGTAGTTCAGAAACAGGACTACGGTCACGCCGTCCAAATGACCGATATCTTGTAGTTACAACTTGAGATAAGATAAGCAGATGTCTCTGGCAGATACCACATTGTTATCTTATCCCTTGATTTTTATCTGACTCGGTTAGAGATTTGTTATTACATCAATTTGACTAGTCTTGAATTTTAAAATAATTATTGTCTGTTAAGTTTTGAGTTTTAATACTTTATTGTTCTGAATAATTTCTAGGTGTTTTACCATTTTTTTATTTGATAGTTTTGGATAGGTTTTCATTTTGATCTGACTAGTTTAAAGAATTGATATTGTTTTAGTATAGATCGTATGTAAAGGAAAGCAGTGTTTTTCTCATTTCGATGGATTGTGTGGATAATTTTATTGCGCCCGGTGCCATGTCTTTCGGAACAGTCCTGCTGCATGAAATCTGATGCATTTCGATCAAAGACACCACTCGTTATCTTGTTTTCTTCAATCACAGCACCTGGTGTAGGTCTGAAGCGTTTAGTAGGAAACTATATTCTTTTAAACCGCTCCAGATATGACAGATCTCTAAATCCCTTCTCTGGACAAGCTCCAACATATCTTTGCGTTTAGCCTTATATGGGTACCACACCATGTTTGCATATTCTCAATGAACTCTGACAATTATTCCTTTTTGGCGGGAAAGTGTGTTTATTCGTGTATGAAAATTTCATTGAATGACAGCGAACATTGAATTTGTCTTTTCAACAACCGTACTAATCAATCATACAATATTAGTGCGTGGTCTACATTATCTCCCAGGTGTCATTAGTGCGTGGTCTACATTATCTGCAAGGGATCATTATTGCTTGGTCTACATTATCTCCCAGAGATCACTCACATGGCATACCTCTTCTAGCGCGTCATTATTTTAGTAATATTATATTTGAGTGGTGTTTTTCAGAGATGCCTTTTGTTCTCTGTCTGGCATGAAGGTTNAGATATCTCTGTCTATATCACACAGGAGTGATAGATTCTATTATTCCAGTTAATAATATGCTCTCTTAGCCTATTAGATAATATTTAACTTGATTCTCTTCTATGGGGAATGGTATCAGAGGTTTTAAAAAGTCTATGTCAATACACGCTACAGATAATAGTATGCTCTAAAACATCCGTCAATTCATCTAATATCTTGAGAGGAATTAAAGTAACTCACCAACGTAGCTATACGATTATCCAATTTGAACTTTCCCTTTCTTGATAGAAACAATTTCTGCTTCCCGTTATGATGTCGATGGGAAATAGAGAAATACACGATAAACGAGGTAACTTTCAATAAATAGGTCATAAGCCTGAATGCTTCAATATTTTTTGTTTCAGACTGGAAAAAATTGTTTTAAAGCTTGTGAAATAATGTGTTTATCAGGAATTCGTTTAATGTCCTAAATGGTCATTAATTTTTTCGCTTAGTTGAATGAAGTAATTACTCAAACATACAAAATACAACATTTTTGGTTTAAAGTGTACTTTGAACGAAAATAGTAATGAATCTATGATGAATGGGACAAGTTATTATATGTTACAGAGTTAAGTTACCCATATCAGAAAAGTGTAGGTAACAGAGTGTATTAGTGAGGTGGCCGTTATCGTCATGCTGTAGGTAACAGAGTGTACTAGTGAGGTGGCCGTTATCGTCATGCTGTAGGTAACAGAGTGTACTAGTGAGGTGGTCGTTATCGTCATGCTGTAGGTAACAGAGTGTATTAGTGAGGTGGCCGATATCGTCATGCTGTAGGTAACAGAGTGTATTAGTGAGGTGGTCGTTATCGTCATGCTGTAGGTAACAGAGTGTATTAGTGAGGTGGCCGTTATCGTCAGGCTANTACATCGTCTCAGACGTCGTGATCTACGTAGCCAGGCGGATAATGTATTTGGAAATTCGCAGAACAAACTGGTTTGGCACAGCACTTCCCGAGTGGAGTTTCTAAATGGCAGACACTAGGTAGTGTCCACGTGTAGCATCTGAAGTAAACAGAGGGAAAATTCTTTTTGAAAATGGAGACTTAGATAAAATGTTTGACTGACACCACAACCCAATACGAGAAAATACTATTTTCTGCTTACCATACATTAGAAAACAAGCGACATTCCTATTTGGGGTGTTACTATTTAGATTACAATTGTAGCATACGGTAAACAGACAGGCACGGCTTGTGGAGTTTAACAAACGGGAACGGAGTTTGAAAAAAACATTGATAGCTGAATATGTTAACAGTGTGAATCTGAGCAGTAAATCTATTACTTCACTGTTGTCACGTTAACTTTGCGTCACATTTGATGTTATATTTTAACACGAGAAATACCTATATCTCATGTGAATATGCACGAATGAATTATATATTGGAAGGTTTGCATAATATACAGAATACATATATGTTTCATAAAATACAAGATATCAGTTGGACAGATATAAAGACGCTGAGCATTAGCTAAAACTATTATGATCGTCTTTCCTTACCCTTGCTGAATTGTACTGAAGTGTTTCAAGACAATGATCATGTATTCTATATTGAACAAGTATTGTCTAGGAACTATAAAGTATAAAATAAGTGTACCAAACTAAATTCAAAGAATAATAATATTTCGTTAAGATTCGAAACAAAATCTTCAAATTCCTTTTATTTAGTTGGATGTATAGTTTTAAAATGTCACTTTAATTATTAATGTTACTAACTTCTAACACTTATGCCTTAACAATGTTTTGCAGTGAACCTGTCTTGATTAATATGAACAGGGACCGAATAATTTCATAGGAAGTTTAAGTATAGAATCTTTTGCGTCATGGAAGTGTGTCGTCAAAGTAAGAATATTGCCAACATATAAGGCATTATGTTACTTGACTTCTAACTGTACTTACAAAGATGAACAGATGTATCTTCCTCTGGTATCGTCCGTACAGGTACAGTTAAACTCACAACCGTCTTGCCAAGAGTCGTTTGTTTGATAAAACTGTCCTTTATAAAAACATCTGGCAGAAATGAAAAAAAATGAAACAATAAAAAAGTAAAAACAAGTTACGGACATTCACTAAATGATATATGACATTAAAGAAGGGGCGGTTATCTCCCTTTAGATGCCTTTGAAGTGGGTTAAATATATGCTTCTTGTCATGATTTCAAACATATTTACTGCCCAGCATTTAGTGCAGAGGATAAGGCAGGCGTGATATAAACTTATCATCGCCTTCATACCGAATACATATTATAACAATAATGCAAGCGCGTAAATAACAAAGCCAGGCAACATAAATGATGTGAATATTGTTTTCTACTTCTATTTGATATCTTGAAGTTTGTACATGGCTCAATACCTTTCTGCTTGAGTCAACAGAGTGAAAAATAAAGCCATTCGGGTCTTTAATTAAAGCTTGTTTCTTCATCATTCCAAATCTGCAGCAGAAAATCTCACTAAACACTACATCACGAAAACTGATATCTTCATGTATGTTTCATAAAATACAAGATATCTGTACGACAGATATAAAGACGCTAATCAGTCGCTAAAGCTACGTAGTACCATCGTCTTTCCTTACCCCTTCTGAAATGTTCTGAATTGTTTGAAGACAATGATCATGTATTCTATATTAATAAAAAAAATGTCTGAGAAATTTAAAGTAAAAAATGAGATTACCAATCTAAATTAACAGTTGTTTTTTTTAGTTTAGATTGGAAACATCATCTTCCAGTTGTTTTTATTTATCTGGATACATTAGTTAAAAATGTATTTTATTTATTTTTCTTCAGAAAATATTACCGTCCAATTAAGGAGTTCCATGGTTATTGACTAGACAAATTAAACAAGTAAATGATTGGTTGGTTGAACCAGGTGTCCAGTTAATTCTATATTCACTTAAGATTATCTCAGTATGAGCCCCTTACCTGTTTAATGTTCCGTTGGAGCCTGGTGGAAAGGTCCCAGTGTAAAAATACGCTGGTATGGTAGGTTTTGCTGTCGCTAGAGCAAAAAATAATAAAAATAATTAATCAACGTATAAAATATAGTTTCTCAATTCTCTGTCCCATACCAGCAGTATACTACTAGTAAACTAGAGATTTTAAGCACACAGCTGAGTGGCTAAGTGGGTTAAGTGTACCTGGAATAAATTATGGATAGCCATTTTTTTTAAATAATCCAATGAAAATAATTCTGTAAAATAGTTTTCTAAACATATTATGAAAACGTTTGTTCAAGTATAACTTTAAATAAATATGATCAATGTATTAATTTTGTATAGTTTTGTGTTAAAAAGAATATCAGAATTCAAAATGGTCAACGACTGTGTATCACTCCTTGCCTATATTGTAATTATTTTTATGCAATTAAGTTTATAACTGAACTCTTTAGAAAGGACTTTGTCAGTGTCCCTGTGTGATGCGAATTGTGATGGGGAGACTCTCACTGCAAAATCCACAAAATGAGGCACAATTTTGTCGGGCCCAGGTTTCGTATTGCTTGCAGGCATCCTGGCCATAGGAACTACAGTCCGTTATCTCGTCATGGCAACCAGCCATTGAGGGAGCTAGTGGAGGATGGGTTGGTACCTTTATTGTTCCTATGTTCAAAGTAAAAATATATATCCATGTTATCTTTTACAATAAAATAAGTAGACACAATATTTCTCTGTTTGTTTTATACACTTAATTTATGCACATTGTTCTTCATGATTCACGTGAAAGGAATGTTTCAAGAACTCAACATAAAGATGTTTTTGATATTTGGATGAAACAAATCAAGAGCATTAAAATTGAATAATTATGCCTAAATATTGATCAATTTGACGGTGGCCTTTGCGTCGACGCCTCCTAAATGGATCTTTTGGATCATGTAAACTATAGGTAATACGCTTTATATAGTGTTCGGGGTACTGTCCGTTGTCCCTTCCCCCCTTAGTACAGGTTGCTGCGATTCGCCTGCCTTTTTTAAACTTTTTTTTTTGAGTAAAGAAGGACATAATTCATTTTATATACATTGATAAGTGAGAGATTATAACCTTACCAGTCGGGCCACGTATAGATGGACTAGTCACTGAACTGTAGTTTCTCCTGCTTTCTAACGTGTCTGACCCAGGCAGGGTCCCCTAGGGCTTAACTAATCATTAAGTGATCCAAAATTCTTTCTGCCCCGACTCTAGCTTAACTCCTTACACTGTTTCCGTCAGTCTCGAAATGCTGTTATACCTATGCTTTGATGCTTATTCCAGTCAAATATATCTGTATGTTTAAATGTGAAACAGGGTGAAAAACGCTTACAACGTAAGTATGTTCTTGACGCATTAAGGTAAAATATCGTAATTTGAATTTTGAATAAAAGTTTAAACGGAATTCTAAGTCGCATGATAAGCCGATTTGAACTTATGTCAAGCTACATGTAGGATCGCCAGAAAAGCCAACAATAACAGTGAGATGTTTATCAACCTACCACATATACCGCAATACCTGGCACAATTCTTGGTAGCCCAGGGAACGAACGGGGATTGACATGCGGCGGTACCATAGATCTCACAGTTATGCAGTTTATCCTCACACCCGTTGTCACCTTGTAAAAAACGAGGTCAAAATACATTGTGGATCATATCATAAACAGGTATCATTTCGTGAATGACATGATAAACAGGAAATTATATTTTATATATGGACTAATATCTCGCTAATTACTATAATCACAAATACGGTTTACGGTTTTAGTTTTACTGGCACATTGATATATCATATATACAGTATATTATATCAATATCACTTTCAATGGATACATTGTTGAAATATATATGAAACGGAAGGCAATTATATACAACTATATGCAAAAGTATAATTATGAATATTGTAAAAAAATCATTTTGTTCGCAACAATTATGAAAGAATTGTAATAATTTATGTATTGAATATTTAAAATAAGAATAAAGTTCTTTCTGTTCAAATGTCTCCATCAGAATAAGACAGCGGCTTTGTTATAAGAATTTTAGAAGGTATACATATCGTGTATGAAATTGCATGAGCAACATATGTGTGTGTGTATTGTCTACTAAGGGATTCACCTTTAAACCCTTGCCATAGTTTCACGAATGTAGCTTAACTTTTTCCATATGAGTTAAGAGAAATTTTAAATATACGATTGATTTCCTTTTCACGCCAGTAATGCTTTCCTATGACTAATCTTCAGTTAAATTTTACCGTGTCGCTAGCCTTCGCTCTTTCTTATCAGCAGGGCAAACTGGCATTTCTTATTTTTTCGTTCAAAGCAAAAATCCATAATTTTTCGTAAAATCACATTCAGGGCGTAAAACACGTCAAAGAGATGAAAGAAAATAGAAAGAACGAATTTAATTTTTTTTCCCTACGTACCGCTTAGAATTCGATGACTTAAATAATGTCACGCATGTCTCAATGGGCCCTCTTCAAAAGGATATTATTTCATGTCAAATTTCGGCACGATTCCTCTGCTATAACGATTTTTCATTTTTTGCTAATGCTTCTTCATGAGTGAACTAGTAAGTCGTTCAGCATACCAAGAGACGTAATGGATCATTATTAATTAATATGAAGAAATGTTTATTGTGACATAGTCGCCATTCGATATTTGTGTTCTGCTTTCGTGACATTTCGTAAATTCGCTTATACATCTTTATAACGTAATCATTGCTTAAATCCTGCGCCTGGTGACAAAAGTAGAAATTAGGAAAAGGCTTCGCACGCTTATTTCTGATTAAGATTTAAGTAATTCGATGTTTTAATCTTTTCATACCAAAATATTTAAGCTATTTATTAAATTTAATTACCACAGTTATTACAAAAGATTGTGGCACAGTTACTTTAAGAAATTTGCTTGAGTAAGGAAAAATCGTGCAACTGCGATTTAAGAGTTATTTATGGCATGCCGCAAAAATCTTGTTCATCATCAATCTCTACCCGGAGTTGTCATTCTTTACTGTTACCGAGTGTAAGGAAGGGCAACTCTGGGTAAAGATTGATTCGGCCTGTACTAGACCCTGTTAGCACATGGAAAAAGCGGTCATGACCAGCCAATATTTTGTTAGAAATTGTTCAAGATACCAATTTTGAACACTTTGTTCTAGCCAGAGTGAGACATAGGGTAGAAATTGGATAGAGATAATCATTTCTCTCGTGCCTTTATTGTATGTTGTACAGTTCGTAATATATATTTTACTTACCACAGAAACTACAGAACTTGGCGCAATTTATCCTGGCCCAAGGTTGATACCTAATACTATCGCACACGACTTTACCATAAGACTGACAGTCGGGATGAACGTCACCACATGTGGCTACTGTAGTATTTACCTCACCCGATGCTGGTACATAACAGACAACGTAGAACATTGTTAAACATTTGTTGTTTCTTCCTCAAAAATGAAATGGATAAATATAATACAGATTAAAATTGGCACTGAAGTCGATAAATATAACAGGTTTATTTTTCAGGGAAATTATAACAATACATCACTGCAACTTAGAGGATTATAAGATTTAAAAATGGCTGTTATTTTTCACTCCGATGAAAATAAATATTTCTGTATTTGAACTAAAAATAGAGCAGAAACATCAACTGCAAAATGATAAATGAGACCTAGTTATGCCATGTTCAGATAAGTTAAAAGTGGATAAACTGATGACAAAGTGTTTTGACTTTTCAGAAAGATAAGTATTAAACGAAATGTAGGGTTCACAGTCTGGAAAATATAATATGTGTAATTTCCCCGCATTGCAAAAAAAGTTTTCAATGTCTCTACATACCAAGGTAAACCTATTTCTCCATCCAAAATTATCTGAACTATGTTGATGAAAGAAAATAGGAGACTATCTCAGTGTGACCTAAACCGTTAGTCGAAATAACAACCAATGAAACAAGTTTTAAATATAAATATAAAATAAATAAGTAACATGATGGTAAGACTTGAGTGTTCCGGAGGGGTAAGCGTCTTTCGTTTCATGGACAACATCAGCCTAAATCTTTGTCAACTTCAAGCAATGTCATGCTCCCAGCGACAGAACAGGAGTAGGGACAACTCAAACAACAAACCAACAGATGAACACAATAAAGCATCGGTATACCCATCATTTAAATGAATACGTATTTCGCAATAATAGTCTTCATCAACCGGCATCTCTCGAAACCACGTGGTGTAAAATTGTCAAACTGCATTGACACCTAACACGGGAACCGCGATAATCGGGGAAAGCCAGTAAATATCGGGTTTACTTCGACATATTAACATTGTAAGAAGGTGTTACATTCAAGGAAATGTCATGGATTTCAATTTCAAATGTACAATTGACGTGGTCAATAACGTTATTTAAAGACCACACAGTATTGATATATTTTAAATTTGATAAGAGAGTAACACAGTTAGTTTCCATGGATATGCTAATAGACTATTTAAAAAAGCGTGCAATCAGACGCAACAAAGACATTATCAACCGAAGGTCTATCATCATCACACAATCATTCTCAGTAAATTTTATGATTGCCTTTGTTGCGTTGTTCACAAAATATACCCAAAAATAGTTCCCCTACCAAATAAAAAGCATTTAAAGTCTTACTGTTAATTGATTGCCCTGATAATTATTGCGATATTTTCTTCTAATATTTGTAAAATTCACACGCCTTGACGTCACACTTGTCGTAGCAATAGTTATACTGGAAATCTGGAAAAAATCAATATACCTTGGTAAACAGCAAACACCAAAAAGAATACGAATGCTGGGGAAATTGTCATATCTGAAACGACAAGAATCAGTAATAAAACACCAGTTTTGATCATAAAGTGTATTACTCTGAACCTGCTAATATAAATGACAAATACAATACTATATCAATATGTAGATTACTACAACGGTTTCAATCAAGCTTGATTGAATTGAATTGAATGCATTACGCACCAAACAGTATACCAGACCCGCAAGTACAGTTAGTAAGAAAACTGCTGGCCTATGTAAGCATTTTCTTTCTGACCTCAGTTCTGTCTTTTTTATGTGCTCAACTCAGTGTGTACTTATTGACAGTATATCTTTCTGGCGTAGTTCAGAAACAGGACTACGGTCACGCCGTCCAAATGACCGATATTTCGTAATTACAACTTCAGATAAGATAAACAGACGTTTCTAGCAGATAACACATTGCTATCGTATCCCTTGATTTGTATCTGACTCGGTTAGAGATTTGTTATTACATTAATTTGACTAGTCTTGAATTTTGACATAATTATTGTCTGTTTAGTTTTGAGTTTTAATGATTTATTGTTATTGAATAATTTCTAGATGTTTTTATCGTTTTATTATTTGATAGGTTTTCATTTTGATCTGACTAGCTTAAAGAATTGATATTGTTTTAGTATAGATCGAATGTAAAGGAAAGCAGTGTTTTCCTTATTTCGATGAATTGTGTGGATAATTTTAATGCGCCTGGTACCATGTCTTTCAGAACAGTCCTGCTGCATGAAATCTGATGCATTTCGATCAAAGACACCACTCGTTATCTTGTTTTCTTCAATCACAGCACCTGGTGTAGGTCTGAAGCGTTTAGCAGGAAACTATATTCTTTTAAACCGCTCCAGATATGACAGATCTCTAAATCCCTTCTCTGGACAAGCTCCAACATATCTTTGCGTTTAGCCATATATGGGTACCACAACATGATTTCATATTCTCAATGAACTCTGACAAATATTTCTTTTTGGCGGGAAAGTTAATTTGTGTATGAAAAGTTCATCGAATGACAGCGAACATTGGATTTGTTTTTTCAACAACCTTTAATCTATATTATCTCCCACGTATCATTAGTTCGTGGTCTATATTATCTCCCAGGTATCATTAGCGCGTGGTCTACATTATCTCCCATGTATCATTAGTGCGTGGTTTATATTATCTCCCATGTATCCTTAGTGCGTGGTCTACATTATCTCCCATGTATCATTAGTGCGTGGTCTACATTATCTCCCAGGTATCATTAGTGCGTAGTCTACATTATCTCCCAGGTATCATTAGTGCGTGGTCTACATTATCTCCCAGGTATCATTAGTGCGTGGTCTACATTATCTCTCAGGTATCATTAGTGCGTGATCTATATTATCTCCCATGTATCAATAGTGCGTGGTCTATATTATCTCCCATGTATCATTAGTGCGTGGTCTAATTTATCTCCCAAGTAGCATTAGTGCGTGGTCTACATTATCTCCCAAGTAGCATTAGTGCGTGGTCTACATTATCTCCCAGGTATCATTAGTGCGTGGTCTATATAATCTCCCAGGTATCATTAGTGCGTGGTCTACATTATCTCCCATGTATCATTAGTGCGTGGTCTAAATTATCTCCCAGGTATCATTAGTGCGTGGTCTACATTACCCCCAGGTATCATTAGTGCGTGGTCTATATTATATCCCAGGTATCATTAGTGCGTGGTCTACATTATCTCCCATGTATCATTAGTGCGTGGTCTACATTAGCTCCCATGTATCATTAGTGCGTGGTATATATTATCTCCCAGGTATCATTATTGCGTGGTCTACATTATCTCCCATGTACCATTAGTGCGTGGTCTACATTATCACCCATGTATCATTAGTGCGTGGTATATATTATCTCCCAGGTATCATTATTGCGTGGTCTAAATTATCTCCCACGTATCATTAGTGCGTGGTCTACATTACCCCCAGGTATCATTAGTGCGTAGTCTACATTAGCTCCCATGTATCATTAGTTCGTGGTCTATATTATCTCCCATGTATCATTAGTACGTGGTCTATATTATCTCCCAGGCATCATTAGTGCGTGGCCTACATTATCTCCCAGGTATCATTAGAGCGTGGTCTATATTATCTCCCAGGCATCATTAGTGCGTGGTCTATATTGTCTCCCAGGTATCATTATTGCGTGGTCTACATTATCTCCCACGTATCATTAGTGCGTGGTCTACATTATCTCCCAGGTATCATTAGTGCGTGGTCTACATTAGCTCCCATGTATCATTAGTGCGTGGACTATATTATCTCCCAGGTATCATTAGGGCGTGGTCTAAATTATCTCCCACGTATCATTAGTGCGTGGTCTACAGCTATCATTAGTGCGTGGTCTATATTATCTCCAAGGTATCATTAGTGCGTGGTCTATAGAACTCTGACAAATATTTCTTTTTGGCGGGAAAGTTAATTTGTGTATGAAAAGTTCATCGAATGACAGCGAACATTGGATTTGTTTTTTCAACAACCGTTCTAATCAATCATACAATATTAGTGCGTGGTCTATATTATCCCCCAGGTATCATTCGTACGTGGTCTACAATATCTCCCAGGTATCATTAGTGCGTTGTCTACATTACCCCCAGGTATCATTAGTGCGTAGTCTACATTAGCTCCCATGTATCATTAGTTCGTGGTCTATATTATCTCCCATGTATCATTTGTGCGTGGTCTATATTATCTCCCAGGTATCATTAGTGCGTGGTCTAAATTATCTCCCACGTATCATTAGTGCGTGGTCTACATTATCTCCCATGTATCATTAGTACGATTTTCCAATTTAAAACTTTCCCTTTATTGATAGAAACAATTTCTGCTTCCCGTTATGATGTCGATGGGAAATAGAGGAATAAACGATTAACTAGGTAACTTTCAATAAATAAGTCATAAGCCTGAATGCTTCAATATTGTTTGTTTCATACTGGAAAAAAGTAGTTCTAATGCTTGTAAAATAATGTGTTTACAAGGAATTCGTTTAATATCCTCCATAGTCATATTTTTTTTACGTTTAGTTGAATTAAGTAATTACTCAAATATACAAAATACAACATTTTAGGTTTAAAGTGTACTCTAACGAAAATAGTAATGAATCTATGGTGAATGGGACAAGGTTTTGGCTGTAGTGTCACAAGTTCAACGGCAACTATTAGAGGAATAGGCGAGACCAAGAACAGAAATGAGTTTTGAGGAATCACATTTTGCTGAAAATACTATTGTATGTACATATATATCAAATGTGACAGAAGTTCAAACAGCGGGTTGAATTGAAACCAAACTGTTGAATCTGAAGTGGTAACCCAGACTGGTATCATTTCATTACCATTTTCTTAGCTCTAATGGGCAATATACTGAAATAACGAATTTGAGGGGAAAACAACAAAGTTTTCTGTATGTTGTTGACCAACAAACTGAATTCCTTATTTTATCTGGAAAGTCAGTTTGTATTATCTTCCTTTACTTAACATTGCGAACGTATTCCATCTTGTCGTCGTCGTTAAACGGCGCCATTTCGTCACCAGTATCTGTGCCGGATTATTTCTTTTGCAAAATGTTATACAGAGGTACCGCTACGGTCCAAAAATTCGGAAATGTATCGGAAAAAAAAGTTTATAAATTATAACAACGTTGTAAGGTAAAAACTCGACGAAAAATCAAACATGTCATAGGTAACGAAAAGACAATTGGTTAATACAAATGTTATTTTGTAACATCAATGTTACCAAATGACACCCAAGTTGTCATTCTTCTGTAAATTAATTAAAATTTAAAACATTAGTGGGATTTATGGACAATCATAGGGTGTACGATTCTGTAAACATTTACCGTTTTTGGGTTCCTGTCTCAACAAACGAAATATGTGCATACATAGTGCTTCCTTACTCTATGTTTCTAGTGGCTATCTATAAGCAATTTGTAATGGTCTGTTAAATCAATAACCATATTTCAAATTTATAAGTTAATTTATTACATTCTTGACAGTGAAATATCGGATTCTATCAACTTGATAAAACTGATATCTTTCACATTTTGACAAATATCAAAAGTTACATTTTCACAGTGTGAAAATATCACTTTTTGTTATTGACCAATCATAACGGTATCTTCTATTCAAAGGCAACGATTTTTTGTTCAGATTCAAATGAAGCGACGATAGAATAAGTGGTTGTTATGGTAAATGTTTGGCACACACACTTAAGTATTGACATAAATATACAATTGATAAAATTTGTATAGGCAATAATACCAGAAAACAGCAGAAAACGTCGGAATTGTGTTGAATATCCCATTCAAAATGGCGCGCTGCCTTGTCGTCAAGTGTGAAGTCATTAGGATATGGCGCTAATAATTACGCTCCTTATTTCCGCCCTTTTTAATGCATTACATTTTTCATGTTTTATGCTGAAAAATGTAATAAATAGAAAACTCGTGTGGGCAATATTTTGATATTTTTCACTCGTGCTGCGCACTCGTGAATAATATTAAAATATTTAGACACACTCGTAAAATACATTTGTTATTGCTGAAGACACCCTTAAATATCCTCTAAGTGTTCTGAATTTAGATACTCCAGATGATTTACTTACCTCATCTAAGTATTTAATATTTGACCTATGCTAACCGATATTAAACACTTTTGTGATCGTTATTGAATCATACTTATTTCTATTCACGTGAATATTTTTCGGATGGTGTAGAGTATATACGTTTATAAATTGAACTTACCAGAATTGTGCCAGTTCGTGTTTGAGTTAAACTTCTATATAATCAGTATATCTTAAGTGGAATGACAGTAACATGAACGACATGATTTTAAAGGTTCAGTCCACTGTGTTTGTGAGTGTTACGATCAACTTTCAATAAGGTTAATTTAACACTAGATATGTATATATGTCTGCATAATGACTTCCTTTTCGTCTTAACAAAATTAATAAGTTTCCTCACCTACCTAGCAAAACGTTTGTAAATGGCCTCTCTTCTTATCTACACACGCAGAGTAAGTTAAAACCTTCTCTTTATATAATTTGGATGACCCGATGTGAACGAAATAACCAGGATGTCTCGTACATAGTGTATATTGAGTGCATCATGTTTTTCTGGTAAGATAAAGAACTGTACTGGTGATAAAAAAAACCCATCTTATCTGAGTAACCATGTGCCTTCCAAGATAACATGTAGAATAAGGTTATTAAAAACAAATAAAAAGACGTTTTACATGTTAAAAATGTAAATAGCCTTAACGTTTAATTTTCTGAGAAAAATCCCCGTTATTGACTGAACTGCTTGCAAAGGCAATCATTGGTATATATTATAGGAAAAAGAAATATGAACACCAAACTCTTACATTGCAATCGGCAAGAAAAGCAATTCATTTTTCTATTTTGATGTAAAATAATGATTAACACAATATACGGATAGAACAAACAATATTGTGTTTCATGTTTAATTACAATAAGAAAGAACAGTCATCTACAAGCAATATTCTGCAGTATCCAACATTACAATCATAACGTCATATTAATGGTGACGTCACAAATCGGACGACTGCATTTCTAGCGCTTCGTCTATAATCAAAATATAGTTTAGACATGTATAAAACGTGGTAATATCACGCACATGTAAATATGCTGTTATGATAAGTTGATTAGTCCTGTCAGTTTCTTTCTACATTTGAGTAATCTTTGAAATAGCAGTTTAACATGCATTACAATTTTTACAGTCATTGTATTGCTTGATGGCGTCAAAATGGTATTTAAATAAAACACACAAGTGTAATTACATAAAGACATTTTGTTTAAAAAAAGAAGATGTTGTTAACTTTCATTTGGGGCCCATTGCTTGCAGTGGATAACTATGATTGTGTTGTCAGTTATATATTAACTATATATGTATCTACATTTGTTCCTAGGGAATACTATTAATGTCTCTGACAACAGATATTTGCCTCGTCTCCTTACCTTTGTAAACGACATTAGTTTAAATGCAGACAGAGATAATATCGAACTCTGAGGACCAAATTGGCATAATAGCTTTGATAAGAAACCGTCCTTTGTTCGGACTTAAGAGGTCGCCAGTGTGGACACCACAAGTGTGGATACCACAACGGCCCAATGTTCTAACGGCCCAATGCTCTAACGGGCCCAATGTTCTAACGGCCCAATGTTCTAACACACTGGATTACTGTGTGGCCTATGGCAACAACGTCTGCAGTAGGATCTTCAAGGCATGTGTCATTTACAACTGCGATAAAAACCTGGTAAAACCACACCAGGTTTGACGCTTCACTATATCATAAGGATCCCTGTCCCGACGCATTCCGGTTTTGCGTATATACAGCTATCTCCCTTTACGTTTTAGATAACACTGGCAAAGTTCCGTTGACTAGGTAGGTCAGTCAGTTAGAGCGACAGTATCTAAAAATATGAGGTCCATGGTTGAACCAGGGTCTAGCCCCGCCGAATGGGTACACTCAGAGCACTGTGGAGGTTACATTTTAGCCATTTCACATTCATTATTAATCACGAATGCTTTTGTTATACAATGTGTATTAAAGTGCCCTTTTCTATTGATTCATAATAAAACGTGGTCATCGATTAAAATCCTGACCGCTATGAACAAAACCAATCAGAAAATGATATTCGCGTGGAATCATTTCTTTGCAAACTGCAACAACAGAATACATACATAGTTTTTCCAGACTTTATGAATTGTAAGTAGACGGAGTGATAGGTAATGTGTTAGTCAATATGTTTCTAACTGACGGTTATAAAATACTTTTCTTTTAGTTTTTTTCCCTTATATATTTCCACACAGAGGCGAGATATTGGAGTAAGGATGACAAATCCAGCACTGCAATAGTAGTGACCACTAGCACAAGGAAGACGGCGGCCACGTACCCGATTCCCGCGGCCGAGGCACGACCATCCGGTACACTTATGAACTTCCTCATGTGGGATGACAGCTGGGTCTTGTTAATTGCTAGTGTCCTCTTCAAATTCTGAAAATTCAAAAAGGTACAAGTGTTATTAGACTACTATGTAGGAATGACATAAAAAAAACCATTCTAGTTTAGTATTTAACGGCCATCGTCAAATTATGGCCTTGAAATATCAATATCATCAATTTTCTTTCGGTATTAATTTGGTTAAACAGTTCACATTAAAAATATGTAAATCGAAAGTTTTTATGACGATCATACTTTGATATTTAACTGTAAACTTAAGAAACATTCTAATTTGGTCTCAAAAAAATTCGTTTACATGATATCAGATCCTGATTACGATCTTATGTGATGCCAATTTAGCGAAATAAATTTATGAAATAGACTTAAGAAAAGGTGTATTTTTTTGTCATCAAGGTAGAAATGTGCATCAGTGCGATAAATTAAGAAGAAAGGTACTGTAATGTAATATGATATATAATTTTATAATAATAAAGTATACGTTAATCTAAAGAGAAAACACTAACAATAATATGATGATGTTGAACGTTGATATTCTATCACGGCGTTGTTCCATACATCATAACACGGTGTACCTTGGTTACCAGGTACTGCCGTTTGACTTACCTGTATTTTTATGTCAATGGCCGCAGGTGAGTTGTCCACGTGTATATTAGGACACGTACATGTGCACGTTCTAGCAGTAGATGGGGAAGGGGATTCAGAGAGAGGAGGATAAGATGACCCTACTCCAACAGTAGACAAAGGGTCTGTAGTGGTTTCTCCCTCTGTTGTCGTCAGAATTTCCTCAGTTGAAGGACTAACTGTTGTTTCGCTAGCATCTACAAATAATGAATTTCAACGAGTAGAAAAAAATACCAACAGATTTGAGCAAGAACTATTTTTTATTGTTGCTTAGGCTCCGTCCAGCACATGCTGGATGATAGCGCACATAGTAACAGTGATCAATGGAAAGGTAAGTCATTGGTCGCCAATCTAGACATACAAACTAAGCCACAGTAATATCAGCCGATAAAATTCTAAGATCATCAAAACACGATTTTGATCTAGCAGATCTCAGTGACTAATATCGTTAAAGTATTTTCGTATTAAACAAAGGACATCAAGACAGGTACTTTAAGTTTTTCATGTCTTTTCCTGTCTTTTCTTTCTCGTTCTAGTCCAAACAATTAAGAAGGTCGAATAGTTTAGCTTCATAACAAAATGTAAGTTAAAATATGTTCATAAGGCCGTAATGTAATTATGGATTTTCACTAAAGATATCGTTTCCCTAGATACAAACATACACTAAAGATATCGTTTCCCTAGATACATACCTACACTACAGATATATTTTTCCTAGATACATACATACACTAAAGATATCGTTTCCTTAGATGCATACCTACACTAAAGACATCGTTTCCCTAGATACATACCTACACTAAAGATATCTTTTTCCTAGATACATACATACACGAAAGATATCGTTTCCCTAGATACATACCTACACTAAAGGTATTTTTTTTCCTTGATACATACATGCACTAGAGATATCTTTTCCCTAGATACATACCTACACTAAAGACACCTTTTCCCTTGATACATACATGCACTAAAGATATCGTTTCCTTAGATACATACCTACACTAAAATAATCTTTACCTAGATACATACATACACTAAAGATATCTTTACCTAGATACATACCTACACTAAAAATATATTTTCCCTGGATACATACGTACACTAAAGATATCGTTTTCCTAGATACATACCTACACTAAAAATACATTTTCCCTTGATACATACGTACACTAAAGATATCGTTTCCCTAGATACATACCTATACTAAAGATATCGTTACCTAGATACAAACATACACTATATATATCGTTTCCCTAGATACATACCTACACTAAAGTAATCTTTACCTAGATACATACATACACTAAAGATATCTTTACCTAGATACATACCTACCCTAAAGATATATTTTCCCTGGATACATACGTACACTAAAGATATCGTTTTCCTAAATACAGACATACACTAAAGATATATTTTCCCTAAATACATACCTACACTAAAGATATCGTTTCCCTAGATACATACCAACACTAATGATATCGTTTCCCTAGATACATACCTACACTAAAGATATTGTTCCCCTTGATACATACCTACACGAAAGATATCTTTTCTCTAAATACATACAAACATTAAAGATATCGTTACCTAGATACAAACATACACTATATATATCGTTTCCCTAGATACATACGTACACTCAAGATATCGTTTCCCTAGATACATACCTACACTAAAGATATCCTTTCCCTAGATACGTACCTACACTAAAGATATCGTTTCCCTAGATACATACGTACACTCAAGATATTGTTTCGCTAGATACATACGCACTCTCAAGATATCGTTTACCTAGATACATACCTACACTAAAGATATCTTTACCTAGATACATACATACATTAAAGATATCGTTTCCCTAGATACATACGTATACTCAAGATATCGTTTCCCTAGATACATACCTACACTAAAGATATCGTTTCCCTAGATACATACCTACACTAAAGATATCCTTTCCCTAGATACATACCTACACTAAAGATATCTTTACCTAGATACATACATACATTAAATATATCTTTACCTAGATACAAACATACACTAAAGATATCTTTACCTAGATAAATACATTCAGTTGTACACTAAAGATATCGTTCCCTACATACATACCATTAAGAAAGAAAACGTTGCCCTATATATATACATACACGATTTTTTTTTATTTTCAATATGTTTATATGTATATTCTTTACAAAGGATTCCAATAATCCAGGTATACATGATGTATATACGTTACCAAGATACGTTGTACAGACCATCATCCTTCAGAGAATATATACGTGTACTTAGGAATCGAATCATTCATTGAAATAATTGATCTTAGTTGAATGGAAGGATAATAGTGTTAAATACTTTTATCATTCGCTTTTATGTCTGAATAAAGTATTATATATCGCTTTGTGTGGTAATTGTACTCATATGAACGAAATATCAACATGTTCGCTAACGACTGTACCCTACATTAGAACCTTTTTTAACAAGTTAATAGTGTAAACTTCATTCTTGCGTGTTATATAGCTAACTATGCGTAAAAATACTGGCATCAAAGAGGTCCAGAAAAAACGTTCAATATAATGCCTTCCGATCGAATATTCTATTCCGGAATGAATTGGTCTTGTTAATGAAACACCGATTAAGCGATATTATAACCTCAAGGGCGCTCACTCCTTTAAATGTGAAAACGTTCAACGGTAAGATAGAATTATAATACTTCTGTAAATATTTGTGTGGTAGGTATCTAATTGTGATGTTGCGAATATGTGCCACGGAAATAGACGGACCCGGATCTACATTTTATTAGTTCACCTTGTCGTATTGGAAACGTCATTTGTCATTGTGACGTCACGCTATATTTAAGCGCCAGTACTAACAAAACAATGCAGCACAAATTGTATTTCCTATGCATATTTAACCAACTAAAAACATTTCACGGAAAAACTAATTCCGGACAATAAGTATCTCTTTAGAAGTTGTAGACATGCGATGTTTATATAGATACAAGGTTGTGTGCTTTATGACTGTGAGTGGGTATCATATCAATGTAGTATTGTTGACAGAAGATTGCAGCTCCTTATGAACACAACAACATAGCTACAATTCAAAATTTACAGCAACTCTGTGATTGGTCTAACGGTAAATCTCATCACGAATATTGTTCACGTTCTAGTTATCTAAAAGTATTTATTGATGATAAAAAATAAACTAATTAAGTCTTGGTAAAATATGTGTTTGTAGTATTGTATTTGTTTTTGTCATTTAAGACGGTTAATTGATTGTATAGGTGGCCACTCGTCACTTACCGCCATACCAAAATCCACGGAATACCATAATTGGCAGTTGGATGAAGTCTTGCTGTGCTGCAACTGGAAAACATCATATTGTTCTTTATTAGATTATAACATTTAACACTAATATTAAAAGACACAGGGCGGGCGTAAGTAGGTTATAGGTTTACGTAACCTAAAGAACAGATCCCTCCTCAAGTTAATCAAATAAAATGTATGTCAGTTATACTGGGAAGTACATCGTTTCTATGCTCTAATAAGTTTCAAGAGGACGATAGTTTCGATTTCGAAAATCATTTCCTAGTAATGTATGACAAATGGAAAATACAGGTCCTTCACAAACAAAAACAATTAAAACATATGCTGTTAAATTATTTGGTTCTGGAACAATTTAATTTTTAAAATAGCCGTAAAGCAGAAGTCAGTCCTTAACATCGTTATAGGAATAAATGTTGTTTTGTTATCAGTAACACGTTGAATGTTTTAATTGAAATTAAACATTGATAAATGGTATTTAAATCTGTCATATCACATGTAAATTTAGGTCAGATCAAAGTCTGATAGCGAGACTGAGGAAGTAACAACAAAGCACAAAACACATCGATAAACAAAATTCAAAAACAATAACACAAAAGACCGCATTTCCCAATGGGATTAGTACTTTACGTCCTTTTAACAGCGACAGGTAATTCAAAGACCTGTCGGGCTAGAGTTTCGGCCAGTAACTGGCTCTTGTCTCACGCAGGCATCGAAGACGCGACCCAGGTTCATGATGACGACCATGAAATATGTCTATAGTCTTCATCAACGTGCATATTTTGAAATCATGTGTTGTAGATTTGTCTGTCAGCAGTCGACAACTATCACAGAATTCATGGTATAAGTAGCAAGCTCTTATATAGCGAAATAAATAATCTGGGGATGTCACTGTCAATAAAGGGTAGGTTAACGATCAGTTTGGTGGACAGTTTCAGTAGTATGACGTCACTGTTGGTTATACTGTACGAAAAGATAAAGAAAAGACGCTTAAATAGTAGAGTCTGTTATGGCCTTGCTTTTAATCCTAGTTAATCCTGCAGTTTGTACCCATTTCAGAAAAATATATAATAATTAACATTATTCAGATTTTTGTATGGAATGCATAGCATTCGCAAGGTGTCAGTGATCGTTCTTTTTCATAAATTCTTCCTTTATTTGGAGAACCAGCATGATCGGTTCAGTAGCAGTATACCTGGGCCGAAGAGCTTCGCGGTAACTGAAGTCATCGTTCTGCTGAAAGATAGCCACACACAGCGGACCCGTAACAGCTCTATCTGCTCACGTTTGCCAGTCTGTAGTTGCTGCCAACAAAGAAAATCATAAATAACTTCCGTGAAATTAGCGTATATATATATATATATATATCAATATAACGAACATGCAACAGTAATGCTTTTGATAAACGATGAGCTTTTCCTAAATAAGTAACTAAACGTTCCAAAATCAGTATGACCTGTCGCCAGTAGGTGTCGCTATGAACGTACCAGACTCATTCCGTTCTGTCATCAGAAAGTGGCAGTCACGTACCAAAATCAGTATGACCAGACACCAGTAGGTGTCGCTATATACGTACCAGACTCATTCCGTTCTATCATCAGAAAGTGGCACTTAACGTACAAAAATCATTATGACCTGTTGTCAGTAGGTGTCGCTAAATACGTACCAGAATCATTCCGTTCTGTCATCAGAAAGTTGCACTAACCGTCCAGCCTATCAAAATCTTTATGAACTGTCACCAGTAGGTGTCGCTACATTGTATATACGTACCAGAATCATTCCGTACTGTCATCAGAAAGTAGCACTTAACGTACCAAAATCATTATGACCTATCGCCAGTAGGTGTCGCTATATACGTACCAGAATCATTCCTCCTGTCGCCACTATACGTACTTGATTCATTCCGTCCTGTCGCCGGTAGATGTCTCTATATACGTACTAGATTCATTCCGTCTTGTCGCCGGTAGATGTCGCTATAAACGTACCAGAATCATTCCTCCTGTCGCTATATACGTACCAGAATCATTCCGTAATGTCGCCTATAGATGTCGCTATATACGTACCAGAATCACTCCTCCTGTCGCTATATACGTACCAGAATCATTCCTCCTGTCGCTATATACGTACCAGAATCATTCCGTAATGTCGCTATATACGTACCAGAATCATTCCTCCTGTCGCCGGTAGATGTTGCTATATACGTACCAGAACCATTCCTCCTGTCGCTATATACGTACCAGAATCATTCCGTCCTGTCTCCGGGAGATGTCGCTATATACGTACCAGAACCATTCCTCCTGGCGCTATATACGTACCAGAATCATTCCGAAATGTCGCCTATAGATGTCGCTATATTCCAGAATCATTCCGTTCTGTCGCCGGTAGATGTCGCTATATACGCACCAGAATCATTCCGTCCTGTCGCCGGCAGGTATCGCTATATACGTACCAGAATCACTCCGTCCTGTCGCCGGTAGATATCGCTGTATACGTACCAGAATCATTCCGTACTGTCGCTATATACGGACCAGAATCATTCCGTCCTGTCGCCGGTAGACGTCGCTATATACGTACCAGAATCATTCCGTCCTGTCGCCGGTAGATATCGCTATATACGTACCAGAATCATTCCGTCCTGTCGTCGGTAGGTGACTCTATCCTCGGTGTTACAAACGTCCGTACTGTACATCAAATTGAAGAATTCCTCGCCTGCTGCGGGGCTCAGAATGCTTGCTTCAACAGCAAACACATATACCATGCTTCCCAATGTGATACCACTTAAGTCGATCTTTCCGTGAAACATTGAAACAGATTTTTTTCGTATAAGTGCATTACAATGTAACGAATATAAATTCATCATAGACATATAATTTCACACATAATGTGAAGGTTTGTCTGAAGCAATATATTATGTTCCTGTCATTGAGAATTAGCCTCCAGATTGTTGACAATATTACCGAGACGATGACAAAATAGTTAATGGTAGGAAGAAATGAATAATTAATTGCACTGTTTGATCGTCAAAACAAACCACAATTATATATACATATATGCCAGTTATGTTGATCCCAAGAATGAAATACCAAGTTTGCTTCGTCAGTTTAGAGCTTTCGAATTTTAATCACATATCAATATAACTTTATTTATAAAACCCAGATGCTATATGTTCTATAATAGGTTGTTATTTAGAGTCATATCTTTGCAAAGGAACCAGTCGGTCTTGAGACGTTGCGACACGTTGAATACGTATATTGTTCGTGTATAAATTACAACTTTGATATCCCGTTGTGTTTTTGTGAAGACGAAATGACCACACCCCTGCTCTCACACATTCACTGCTAACAGAGTGTTGTATTACCTGAACCATGTCCTGGGAGAGAAATGGTCCAAATTTACCAAGCTGAGTCGGGTCAGTGTTTGTCACCACATCGGACTCTGTAAAGACAAGGGGTCAATGTTAATATAATATTGGAATGTAATTGGAATTCGTTTAATCCGACCGACAATTCAAACTTTTCATTTGAAAAAGTTTCATCAAATCCATCATAATTAAAGGGAATTTGGCAACAGGCAGAGCCTTGAAAGCCCCGACCTGGAGGTACATTCCAAGATTTACATTAGTTTGGAACATACGTAATAACATTAGGTGAGTTAGGTAGTATTCATTTAGTGTGCAAGAATTATTAAAATGATCTAACAGTATTCCACTTTGTATATACATGTTTATGTATGTACACTTATAACTGGTTCATACTGACGTGGACATGAGTATAAACAAACCGTACACCTGTCGACATTGTGTATACATGTTTATGTATGTATACTTATAACTGGTTCATACTGACGTGGGCATGAGTATAAACAAACCGTACACCTGTCAACATTGTGTATACATGTTCATGTATGTATACTTATAACTGGTTCATACTGACGTGGACATGAGTATAAACAAACCGTACAACTGTCGACATTGACATGGATAAACTTATTAACTGTCCAAAATAACCGGAATGTTTTTGAAACAACAAAGAAACCTAACCTAAGGCAATGCAAAGTAATAAATGAAAAGTTTGCTTTCTTTAACCATTTAAATTCATCGCACAGGTTGTTATACTTGCCAGGCAGAACGGCAAACGGCACAGAATCTCGGAGCGGGATGAGGAAGAAGGGATGTTCTTTGCTACCCGTGTACATGTTTCTATCAGACACAGCAAACCACGCCGTATTGGCTTCGAACGCCGAGGAGAAGATGGACTGGTATCCAGGCTGACTGAAATAAAAACAAACACATGAATCGTTCTCTGCAATCAATATAAAGGTAAATAGCTATCTTAATGAAGTCTTGTTTATACACGAAAGCTGTTTGTTTTTATTGCCTTCAAATATATTGTGAGATATACATTTTGACACCCTTCTGTAGAATTAGAAAATACAGAAAGTAGACTCGAGACACCGAAACCATGAATGGCTTATTATCCTAAGCCCCACATTTAGTTGAGGCATCGGTTAAAGCTGCTAGACCAAGGCTCGAAATCCCACTGTGATGCGTCTGGCGAATGTTTCATATCATGTTGGAAGAGTCTTGGCGTTCAATTTCGGACTGATACGGAGAAAATGGAGAGTTTAGAAACTACTATTATTTTTAAAAACATTGTTGTTTGAAAATAATCATTTTGCTCCAATATTTATCGTGATAAAAAGGTATTGTCCATTTTATCTAACAATAATAGAACGAATGATGACCAGTACCACATGTCATGAGAAAATCAGTATGCAATAAATTACGATACATACTAAAATATATTTACTAGTCTATTCATGAGATCATAAGAAATAGGACGTGTAGACTGACTAATCAATATTACCAAGAAATAGGACGTGTAGACTGACTAATTAAATAGGACGTGTAGACTGACTAATTCAAAAGGACGTGTAGACTGACTAATTAATATAACCAAGAAATAGGACGTGTAGACTGACTACTTAATATAACCAAGAAATAGGACGTGTAGACTGACTACTTAATATAACCAAGAAATAGGACGTGTAGACTGACCAATTAATATAACCAAGAAATAGGACGTGTAGACTGACTAATCAATATAACCAAAAAATAGGACGTGTAGAGTGACTAATTAATATAACCAAGAAATAGGACGTGTACACTGACTAATCAATATAACCAAGAAATAGGACGTGTAGAATGACTAATTAATATTACCAAGAAATAGGACGTGAAGACTGACTAATCAATATAACCAAGAAATAGGACGTGTAGACTGACCAATTAATATAACCAAGAAATAGGACGTGTAGACTGACTACTTAATATAACCAAGAAATAGGACGTGTAGACTGATTAATTAATATAACCAAGAAATAGGACGTGTAGAATGACTAATTAATATACCCAAGAAATAGGACGTGTAGACTGACTAATCAATATAACCAAAAAATAGGACGTGTAGAGTGACTAATTAATATAACCAAGAAATAGGACGTGTACACTGACTAATCAATATAACCAAGAAATAGGACGTGTGGACTGACTAATCAATATTACCAAGAAATAGGACGTGTAGACTGACTAATAAATATAACCAAGAAATAGGACGTGTAGACTGACCAATTAATATAACCAAGAAATAGGACGTGTAGACTGATTAATTAATATAACCAAGAAATAGGACGTGTAGAATGACTAATTAATATAACCAAGAAATAGGACGTGTACACTGACTAATCAATATAACCAAGAAATAGGACGTGTGGACTGACTAATCAATATTACCAAGAAATAGGACGTGTAGACTGACTAATAAATATAACCAAGAAATAGGACGTGTAGACTGACTAATCAATATAACCGAGAAATAGGACGTGTAGACTGACTAATTAATATTACCAAGAAGTAGGACGTGTAGACTGACTAATCAATATTACCAAGAAATAGGAGGTGTAGCCTGACTAATTAAATAGGACGTGTAGACTGACTAATTCAAAAGGACGTGTAGGCTGACTAATTAATATAACCAAGAAATAGGACGTGTAGAATGACTAATTAATATAACCAAGAAATAGGACGTGTACACTGACTAATCAATATAACCAAGAAATAGGACGAGTAGACTGACTAATCAATATTACCAAGAAATAGGACGTGTAGACTGACTGATTAATATAACCAAGAAAGAGGACGTGTAGACTGACTAATCAATATAACCAAAAAATAGGACGTGTAGAGTGACTAATTAATATAACCAAGAAATAGGACGTGTAGGCTGACTAATCAATATAACCAAGAAATAGGCCGTGTAGACTGACTAATCAATATAACCAAGAAATAGGACGAGTAGACTGACTAATCAATATTACCAAGAAATAGGACGTGTAGAATGACTAATTAATATAACCAAGAAATAGGACGTGTACACTGACTAATTAATATTACCAAGAAATAGGACGTGAAGACTGACTAATCAATATAACCAAGAAATAGGACGTGTGGACTGACTAATCAATATTACCAAGAAATAGGACGTGTAGACTGACTGATTAATATTACCAAGAAATAGGACGTGTAGACTGACTGATTAATATTACCAAGAAATAGGACGTGTAGACTGACTGATTAATATTACCAAGAAATAGGACGTGTAGACTGACTAATAAATATAACCAAGAAATAGGACGTGTAGACTGACTACTTAATATAACCAAGAAATAGGACGTGTAGACTGATTAATTAATATAACCAAGAAATAGGACGTGTAGAATGACTAATTAATATAACCAAGAAATAGGACGTGTACACTGACTAATCAATATAACCAAGAAATAGGACGAGTAGACTGACTAATCAATATTACCAAGAAATAGGACGTGTAGACTGACTAATCAATATTACCAACAGACGAGTGATCAGACCCTGACAAGGTAAACAGGACTCCTGGTTACCTCGCTGTTTTTGATGAAATATAAAAAAAAAATCGCAGTTCAAACATACTTAATTAGGTTGACCACTTAGCTTGATAAGTATGTATACAAGTTGTAAATTACAAACTACCCTATACACATGTATATAATGTAAACGATTACATAGGGAATGGGTAGATATTTTTTGGTGATGTATACGAAATATTACACGTAATTCATATCATCAAGAACATACATTGTTCAGAACCACAGAAGGGTCGTGTAGCAATAAGATGGAAAAAGCTGACTACAGTCACCTGAACTGTCATGCACGGAGAACCCATCATCAAATACACTCGTGTGAGACATAATAGGCACAGGTACTTAAGGTTTCCGAGGTTTTCCAACCGTTATAGCCAAATCGATATATTTTGAGTTGAGAACTTAACAATTATTAGTTTGACTTCAATTTCTAAATGGAAACATATAATTAATGGATTTTACGCAACCTTCCCCAACTGTTTCAACAATAGTTTAGAATGATATGTATTTCCACCTGTTTGGCTCCAAGTACCATTGATGAGCATTTGAAGAACAAAATAGCTATGTCGGCGTGGTGTAATTCATTTTTGGGATACTGTATTTATAAGAAACGTTAAAGGTGTTGTCACATCGGGGTTTCAATACAGCGACCATGACTCACCTCCATAACGGGGTCATCTGGTACATATTCATGATGAGGGACCCGAGAAGCCGATCTACCTTCATCCACTGGGC